CCAGTTTTTTTTTTTTTTTTTTTTTTTTTTTTTTTTTTGATGAGCAAGACATAGCTGTTAAACCCCCTTACTTTTGAGTTGGTAACAAAGAGTGTGGCTCTTCAATGAGTACAGCCGATAGTTTTATAGCAAGTCCCATGTCGTCTTACGGGTGGAAGTACGAGCTGTTACAGCCCCCGTGCGCGTAATTTCACAGCGCCTCTTAGAGCTGCGAATGCGTAGCCCCTTTGAACTGGCAGTGCTCCTCCTCGAGGAATTTTCCAGCAGTATTCTTCTGCACGTGCAAAATTGTTCATAATGGCAAAAGGTAAGGAAAAACCTTAAATGCTCGTGGCAGTTATTTGAACTATTTAAACATCCATAACCTGGGACACAGTGCAGGTTATTCTGAAAAAGAGTATAGACACCGTTAATGGGTTGATATGAAAAAAATAAGAATATTGTTACAGAGGAAAGGCAGGGTTTAAAAAATGTTTATGGAGTACTACCATTTGTGTAAAGGGGGAGGAAGGTAAGAATCTATATTTGTATTGTTTTAGGATAATTTAAAAGCGTGTAAGAGTTGTTACCCATATGAAAAGATGGAAACGAGACAAACAGGGAGCAAAGGTAGAAGACAAACTTCACTCTTTTGATGATTTAAATCATATACATGACTTTAAAATTTAAATAAAAACAGCAACTTCTGTTAAATCGCCAGTAAAATGATGAGACGGGGAATGGTAGGGCAGAGGACTGGAAATAGTCATTAGGAGAGGAAGAGACGGAGAAAGAGCACAGAGCCAGTATTTCATATTTCCCTTCCTCCTTGTAGGTGCCAAGCAAAATAAGCCTGTTAAGTCACCACTGTCCACATCCCAGCTCTTGTGTGTGGCCTCTAGGTTCTCTAGTACTTCCTGGCTAACCACAGCCTCTGTCGACTGCCTCTTGGAGGCAGTGTGGTAAACTGGAGAGTGTCCCAGTAGAGGAGCGTTCTCATACCCAGCTGGGGCTGGGGTGGGGGGACAGCACATCTCATGCCCCCTCCCTGGTGCTCTCCCATCTTTGTAACACAGCTCCCCCTTCACTTATTTGTCATTTATTTATTATCTTTGGGGGTGGGGGGGAGTGTTT